ACACGGTAGTCCCTGAACCTTACACCTTCCTAGGATGACTATTAAAAACTTGCCCTCTGGCTTAATTCAATCATAAGATAGGAAGAACTGAAGACAAAAAAATGAACACCATATAGCTCACATCTCAACTGCCACCTCCCACCTTGTGGATCTCACTGCTCTTGAGAGAGCACTAGACAGACAAAACAGTCCCTACCGAATTAACTCACTTATGGATGCCCCTGTGCTATTTCTATAGAAATCTATTCACTTATTGGGAAGGTTTCCACTGAAACAATATAACAATAAGCATATGATGAAAAGTACAGACAAGAATAATATCACAAATACCAGGATATTAGTAAAGGTCCTAGCTTTTGCTGATTCAGATGCTAGTCAAGAAGAAATAGGGGGATAAGAAAGGTAAAACAAAATTAGTTCAGTCCAAAGAGATATACAGCATGAACAAACCATACTGAAGCAGTTTGCCAGAAGCCCTAGCGATCCTCTCTCTCTCAACGAATTTGGATATCATCTGCTTGAATGGGGGTGGAGAAGTGTGAATACCAAAAAGTATCATTTACGTTTGCCCCTTTCAACCTGATTTAGTCAGTTCACAACACTCATTTTCACATTGTGGAAAGCACCCCTCTGAAGGCAACTGCTGAGCTACTTAAGGGAAATTTGTAGAGGTTTTGGAAGATATGTCTCAGCAGCAAGTACAAAAGAATGTCCAGTGCAAAAGCAGATCAGATACTGAGTGACTTTTATAAAGTAAATTTTTGGAGGGTTTTGGGAAGATTGGCCTTACTTGTATCGTTTTATTACACAACAGGAAAATAAGTCAACTGTTGTACTGAAAGAAATATTTAAAATAGAAATCACTAATATTTTATTTGTGTACAATCATATTTTGGAATGTTTGTTCCAAATATTAATTTTTATGGCTCAACTAAACTAAACCAAAGCTATTCCTGAAGTCTAAAATACCGGTGGCAATACGTCACTAAACATCTCTTTTCTGCCACTCTATAATGTCCTATACATCAAGATAAAAATATCCAGTCATCAATAGTGAAACTAATGCAACAGTTGCAGTGCTTTTTACTTGTGGCTCTGTTAGGTGTTTCAACACAAAGGGGCCATTTCCTCCATAAAAATAGCAGCAATTAGTTATAATTCATTAATATTAGATATTGTATATTGTGTATACATAGTTAAACACAATTTTTAAATTATACCTCAACCTGTCTTTCACTATTTCTGTAACTGTGAATGCACAGGTGTAAACAACCTCCCAAGGCACAAGTTAGAATTAGAGTATTCCTATGTTACCAGACAGCCACCAAGATTCAGAAGCCTTTCACTGAAGAGGTTTAATTGGTTACAACTGCAAGTAGCAGAGGCCTTACTGGTTTTTTCATTGAGTGAAATTCACACAGCCCAGAGGACCGTTCATGGACATACATCCTTCTTAAGACCTTAGTATATGGCTAAATTAGGGCAGAAGCAGTAAATCTGGAGTTATGGGCACCCTACACTGTGCAAAATTTCACAATTACTGAGTAAAATATTCCCAGACATTTCCCCAGGAAAAAAGTCCATCTGCTGTCTTGGTAGACAGAATGGAGACTGAAAGTGAGACCATTCCAAAGGGAACAATGGTAGTGCCAAAATGTATCTGCCTATCTATAAAAGGGAGAAAATCAGCTGTTGGTATGTATACAAGCACACGCTCACCCCTTTTTTGCACTCATTTGACTTGAAGTCTGGAAGCATACTATTCAAAGTATTCGCATAAAACAGAAACCTTCCAAATGACTTTGGATTTTAGTGTTAAATGTGTCTGAACATAAAAAAAAATCTGAATCCCAGATCTAGTAAACTGAATGTGTTTTCAAGTAGTGAATCTGTAAGCACTGAAGATCTTGGGATCCAGTGCCTATCTTGTTTTATTTCCTTTCAGTTTCCCCTCTTCATGTTACTCAGCTTTCCCCAATTATGTCTCTTTGGGGATCTACAGGATTAGAGGAAAGTTTGTGTCATTAAAAACTGCCATTCTGTGGCAAAAACTAATTATGACTTAAGATTCCAAATAGAGAGACTGTGAGCTCTTTGAAGCAGTGACAGTGACTCAGTATATTTATGGATAGTTCCTAGCACATTGTGGGAAAAATAAAAATATAAAATATAACATATAAACATATGTTAACATAAACATATAAAAATAAGAAACAATAATACAATTAATAATAGTATAATACTTCAATGCTACTATATACATAAATGTTATGTAATATGCACTTATGCAGATATATAGTAGCAAAGTTAAAAGCTTTTACGGTGTATTCTCTTTCCCCCACTAAAATGAGTGAAATTTAGATCAGCAATAGTAAAAATCATTGTTAAAGCTAAATACCAGAGGAATGGAGCTATATGAAGACATTTAAACAACTCTGATTAAAAAACACTATTGGTTAAAATGTTCAAATCCAGGCACAAAAATCCATTTATAACTCTGATTTTCAGAGGTAAAGAGAAGCTACTTCAGACACTGACTACAGTGAAATTTGTAGATGCTCATTAGTTTGGACATTTGTCCACTAATTTATTTATATACAACCAAAGATAAGCATGACTCAGAGCAATAGTGTGTATCTGAAAACTTTTAAGTCTAGCATTTGAATAATGTTTTTGTTTGTTCCCTTATTTTAGTAAAACATTCAAGTCAATGACTGAAATGCTCTTTAACACATGCTTTTTGCTGTATATTTTTTTTTTTTAGTGGTAGTATGCAAAGAGTCAGACAGATATGGACAGTTTTAGGAATTGTTTGAGGCATGGGAGATTGTATTTTTCTTTCCAGTGCTATTGAGTTACATTTTTCAGTACATGGAGTGTCTCTCTGTACAGACACATATCTTCTGTAAGTAGTTAAGGTAATATACCTAAAATTTCTAAAAATCAGATACAATCATTTCTGTGATCTAGACAATACCAGGTGCTCTGTATGGGAAAAGGACTGGGTCAGGTGTTTTAGGACCAAAAGATTGCATGTTAAAAAACACATATTTAAATTTAAGCCTTTCCTTTTTTCCTTAAGTGACCTGGGATGAAATCTTGACCCCGCTGAAATTAAGGGGAGTTTTACCATTGACTTCAATAGGCACAGAATTTCACCCCTGACTTTCAGAGGTGCTGGGCACCTACAGCTTCATCTGATTTAAGTGGAGGCCATGGATACCTAGCACCTCCAAAATCAAGCCACTTATGTAAGTGCCTAAACAGAAACTAGGCACTTTAACCATCCAAGTATGAAAATTATGGCCCCAAGTATGTACATTCTGTCCATGATTTTACACTTGAAAGCATCACTTTTCTGCAAAAATGAGTACTTTGCAACACAGACTTACTGTACTTTTTGCAAATACTTGCTAGTACTTTGTTTATTCAAAATGTTAGACAAGTAAGTTTGAATCCTGATGAGGCATGATAAATGTCAGATAAAGAAAGCTGAATTTATAAGCACAGATAATGACTGTCTACCATTTAGCAAATAAGACAGAATAGCAGGATTCAGAGTCAATGCCAATTAAGTGTCAACACTTCCTTCCATCTGGCATGGGGACATGAAAAAAAAACAATTACAATAATTAGATCTCTATGCTGTTCTATATCTAAAACGATTACAAAAATCAGTATTTTTCAACTTTCATATTTTGAACATATAAAATGTATGTATAATAAACATACACATGCCCTGATTCACCACTATCTTACTCCAATTTATTGGTGTGACAGCACTGATTTCAAAACTAGAGTAACAGTGGAGAATCAAGGATGTATAATTCAGTTAAAGGCAAATAGCTGGGGCAGTTTGATGGGAATACACACAATTATACTCACTCCTCTAATTCTGAGAATTGGAAGACCCTTAAAATGGATTTGAATCATCTCTGCTAATTTTTTATTGTAGTTGTAGTTCTTAAATATTGTGCAAATTAGCACAAAATATGTCTATTTTCTTTTATCCCAATTTTTTAATAAAACATATATACATAGTACATGAAGAAAGTAGATGTAAAAATGTTAATGAATGGAAGCCCAAACATTTGATAGTAGTGGTCACATGGCAATTTGCAAGGAGCATAAGGGTGGTGAAAAATTTCTGTGTAAATGTACATATTCTATTTTTTTTAAAGTACACCCCTCTATAATATTTCCTTCATCTTGCCTTTTCCTTGATAAACAGAAAAGTAGAATTCATTTTTTTAGTTAACCTCCAGTAAGAGTCTTCAGTTGACCATCTTTGTTCTCACCTTGAAGTTAACAGGAAGAACCTGGCTGTGGGATTAGAGATTCACCAGTCTGCATCCAGACCTCAGGATGCAGGTTAAACAATCCTGATGTAAAGTATACTATTGTCTAAGTAGAAAGTGGTCTTTTTACAAGGAGTAAGGTGGAGTTCACGGAAGATCTCATATAAATGTAAACACAGTAGAACCTCGGAGTTGCGAACTGACCAGTCAACCACACATCTCATTTGGAACCGGAAGTACACAATCTGGCAGCAAAAGAGACCAAAAAAAAAAAGGCAAATACAGCACAGTACTGTGTTAAATGTAAATATAAAAAAATAAAGGGAAAGAAGCATTTTTCTTCTACATAGTAAAATTTCAAAGCTGTATTAGTGAACATTCAGTTGTGTAAACTTTTGAAAGAACAACCATAATGTTTTGTTCAGAGTTACAAACATTTCAGAGTTACGAACAACCTCCACTCTCAAGGTTTTCTTAACTCTGATGTTCTACGGTAAAGGGCAAAAAGACAATCTCAGCTTTCAGATTTTTATCCTATCAAAAAAGACCTTGGTGAAAAATACCTGAAAGTCAATTTATTGACACCTGCTTTCATGCTTAAGATAGCAAACAAATCCAATGAGAAAATTCCAAGTGTTAACATTCCAATATGAAAAGCTAGAATCTGTCAAATTCATTCCAATCCACAATATGCATCATTACCTTTACTTGGTGCTGACTTTCTCACAGAGGCCACGTGGTCTTCAGAGATCGCAAGACGTCTCAAAACATCAGCCAATGCTGCTTTTAGCACAGTGATTTCATCTTCTTGTTGCTGCACTCTCAGTTCGAGAGCTGAAAGACGGTCTTGGACATCGGATGTGCTTGCAGCAGAGATGCTATCATCTAGTTGGGGATAGGGGGAGAAAGGAGGAGGGAATTCAATTGTTTTTTTCAAAAACTACTAAAAAGAAAAGAGTTATAAAAACATACAGTGCAATCTTGTTTATCAAAAATGTTTGGGGGATACTGAAGATGTTTGGATAAAGATGATAACGGATAAGTACGGGATCATAAGCATAACCAACATAAGGAGAAGATTAAGGCCCTTAAACATTGAAGCTTACACAGGATGTTTGGAAACTGAACTTGTACTGTAATGGGAACAAGATACATGCTAAACAGGACAAGGCTATATTTTCAAATGTAATACAAAATAAAATATATGCAAACATTTTGAAGTGTATTCTACTACAACTTTTAAAGAAGCATCCTCAGCATCCTTCGCTTTAAAGCATGAGATAATTAAAAATCAATTTAAAAATACACAACTCACCAAGACCAAATTTAATGAAGTGACAACTCCAATTCAAAAATATTCTAGATCAGATGTTTTAACTTGTTACTTTTTCTTCTTTTTACTGGTTTTTTTTTCACATCACCACTCTGTATGATCCAAAAAAATATACTACTTTATAACATTTGGCCCGAAGTGAAGAGAACAGAAAGTAAATATGCTGTGAAGGGCTCCAAAAATCTGTTTGGCCACACAGAAATAGATTAGTACTGAAGGCATAATCCGGCCAAATCTATTCTTCAGTGGTAAAATGGGAATTACAGCTTCTGCATATTCTTTGCCTTTGACAGCTCATTGCATTATTTCTGCCAAGCCAAAATAACACATCATAGGTTTTTATTTTTAGCATAAATCAGAGTGTGTGCACTACAAATGGGTTGTAAAAAATACAAGTCAAAGAAAAGGTATTCATAAAGGTATCCTTGGTGAGTTTGGGTTTATGCATACTTTAAACAAAATACAAAGTGTAAAGTCACTGGGGTTCATAAAGTTTACTTATTTAATATTGGATGGGTGACATATATGAAGCACATTCATACCATCAAATCACATGTAAAAGCAAATATGCAAATAGTAAAGTTCATTATTGTTTGTGAAATGTTATGCACATTTTAAATTTTGGGCCACTAGTTTCATGAATTTCAACGCAGGGAAACAACTTTTTTTAAATGCCTAATCCTGAAACCCTTTATTATCCAACATAGGCCCTGATCCTATAAACACTTATACACCTGAGTAGTCCTCAAGCTCAATGTAAGTAAGTGATTGCAAGAATGGGGGACAAAGCACTCCCTACCTTGACTAGTCCCAATGAAATAAATACAACAAAGGGTGGTAAGGGTTTGCACCATCAGGCCCTAAGCTGTTAAAACTGATAAAATGTTTAACATTTGGGAGTAGTTACTGAAGTAGCACCAAATTCTATTTTATTGTAATTCTTAATACTGATATTTTACGAGATACAAAGAAATCACCATAGGATTTATTCAAACAAGAGAAGTTACAAGTGAAATGTACATATAATGGCAGAAACAGTGGCAAGAATATCCAAAGAGATATTGGCATAAAATGTCTTCTTACAACATATGAAGGCTTGATTATCAATTTTTGCCAGTCAGATATATTTTTAAAAAGAAAAATTAAGATTGCTTTTTAGGCTGGAAACTCACTTAAATCTAAAAGAAAGATAAATTACAAGGGGATTTGGAGAAGTATATATAATATGCATTTTGTAGTCCTGAGTTAATGGGAGGAAAAATATATGCTAATAATGATAGGTGTATACTAATCAATAAAAAGCTGCATTGTAAGATATATGTAATCAGTTCAGTAATGTGGATAGCAGTTGAAAGACTCTAAACAAAAACACCTTTAATCCTGGCAAACGTATGTATGCTTAAAACATACAGAAAAAAGTGAACAGCCATATTTCTTATGTCATTGGCATCTGTGGGATACTTCAACTGCTACATAAGTATTCTGCAAGATCACCCACCAGTAAGAGACTAAGTCTTCATGCTTAGAAGACACAACTTAAAAAGAGAGAGAGAGGGAGAGAGAGAATGAAAGGGTTGTTACAACATATGGAGGGAAAAGGTAATGACACCAGTGCAAGATTACACATTTTATTTCCATACACCTTCAGTGGATATAAGAAATTTCTGTTTCTTGCAGAAAGCTTATTTACTAAAATAAGAAGCATAACACAAACAGATCGTGCACCATAATGTCTTACTCTAGTCAGAAAAGAAACATAAGTTCCCTAATGTACAAAGAAATGAACAAGTGCTTTTAAATGCCCCCATGTCAAACAAGTGACAAAACATAAAAAGCTGTATTTTAAAATTTTGCTCAAAGTAAAGAGTGCATGTTATCCTTCTCTAAACTAATAAAAACTTAGAAATGTTATAACTCATGAGGAAGACACTGGACTCCCTGGAATTCCAAAAAGTACAACACAATTATACTTTTGCTAAATAGAGATATTATGAGAATTCAAATAAAATATGGGATGATCGTTGTCAACTTCATACCAAAAACTGCAACAATAAGCCAGCTATATTGTCTTAAAACAAGGAAGACATTAATTGTAATTAAGATTAAAGATATACTGAAAGAATAGCAAAATAACTGTAAGGATCTTTAAAGTTCATCTTATGCTGGTAGCAATCAAAACCAAAATACCACAGCTATCACATAATACCTGTCGCAATACACCCTCAAATCAATTAGCCCAAATTGAAGTGCTTCATACGGAAGTAAAATAAAAAATAAAATAAAAAAATATAAACAGCAGTGAAAAGTCTTACAATGAGTAAATCCCCAGGCCCTACAGATACACTACAGATTACTATAAAACATTTGTAAAAAGAAACAGACATCTTTTAGTTATGTTTCAGAGTTTTAAAAGCCAGACATTACCATGCTCACTGTGTGAAATCCAATAGTAATTACCAAACAAGGCTCCACTACTTAAGACTTATCTATACTAGCCTATAATTCAGACCATGGGGGTATGAATAGTGGCTCACACCAAAGTGCTGGGCTGTAACTCCTCTGTGTGGATGCTGCGGGACAAACTAAACGGTTCCCAGTTCACATTAACGTAGCCCTCTTCAAACAGGACTACATTAATGTAAACTAGGAACCTTTTAGTTCATGCTCACAACATCCAGACAGGGGGAGTTACAATACAGCACTTTGGTACGCACTGCTATTCATTCCTCTGTAGTCCAAACTGCGTGGCAGCAGAGACATACCTTAGTCTGCTCATCTATTTCCTTGATGAACACAGACACTAGGTATTTAAGTGGAATACTGGCCAATGCAAATTATTGTATTTTCAGTATTGACATCAACTGGAACCAGATACCAAATAAAATGATCATCAAGAAAAGTATTTAGCAACTGGACTGAGTCATTCTCGTTTTCTGCAACAATGGCTGCAGAGAAATTCTTGCTGCCATTAGAAACTTACAAGAGAACTTGGAAAGCAGACCTGCTTTGACTTAACCACAAAGATCAACATCTAGAAAGCAAACCCAATAGCATAAGATAACTAAGATGCTCAATCTATTTAGTTTATTCAAAAGAATGTTGAGAAGTGACTTGATCATGATCTATATGTCCCTACACGGGTCAGAGATTTCTGAGAGCAGACAGCACTTTAATCTTGCAGAAAAGGGCATAATGAGGTCCAGCGGTCAGAACCTAAAGCTAGACAAATTTAGACTGGAAAAAATGGTGCAAATTTTTAACTTAGCAGTAATTAACCATTTGAATAACTTACCTAGGGATATGATGGATTCTCCATCTCTTGAAGTCTTAAATTGAGACTGCACCTCTTTCTAAAAGATATGCCATAGCTCTAACAGAAGCTATGGAATCGAAGAAATTATTGGGTGAGATTTTTTGGCCTATGTTATGCAGGAAATCGGACTAGATAATCATAAAGACCTGTCTGGCCTTAAATTTATTATCTGACTCTTAATAATAAGCAAGAACAACCTCCAAGGAAAAGCAAGAGTACTGAGGCTGATATTGAGGACCAGAGTAACACTCTAGGAAGATGACTTATTAGTACTTAGCACACCAGAGGAGAAACAGATATTATAATAGATTATAGGTTAAATTGTGAAACATTACAGATATAAAATGAGTTACCTAAAACTGAAATGCTTAACTGCAAAAACAAACTAAAATTCCAAGAGATCCCATTTCCAAAAGTGCTTGGAAAACTGAAACAATTGGGTACCTACTTCAAGTTACCCTAAAGGATGCCTTCAAACTAAATATGACAGGCTATTATCCAGACCATTACAACAAATTTAGGACACTGGAAAATTATACTGCTCTTCTTCCTTGGCAGATCAGCAGTTTTCAAAATGAATTGTTTTCACAGATTTCTGCTTCCCTTACAAACGTTTCCTTGTAATCTAAATACCATTTTTAGGGCACTGATTATATATATATATAATATATACATTTTTTAAAGATAGTGTTAGAGTATTAATGGGCAATTTTTCACATTCAAGCTGCCCAGGCCTAGAGGTCACTAGACCAAGAGCAAACATATGGCAAACAGAAAAAACAAGCAAAGAAACCTCTTAAACTATAAAATATGAACAAGCAGTATTCTACTTTCAGATATTACAGAAGCCACCTGCAATGCACTCATTCCAGAATGAAGTCAGTATAACATTTCAAAATTCAGAAGCAAAAAACAAACAAAACACCAACCTGTATGACATTCTGTTTTCTAACTTTGCAAGTACTGCCTACCAATGATTTTGTCAGTTGACTTTGCTACACTAATTTTAGTTTTTGAAAAGCAAACAGGAATAGCACTTAAATATCGTAGTTCAATGACGTTTTCTTAAGTTACCTCCAAACATCCATTGATTTTCTTCACAAATCTAAGTCTACTTTGTGTAAATAAACTAAAGTTGCTGTGCTGTTATTTCATTCAAATATATGGCTGTCATTTAACAGAATAACAGAAGTAAATATTTCCAAAGGATCAAAATATTTATGGCTTTCTTCAGTCTGG